CCCCTTTTGTCTATTGATTTGCCTGAATTTAGACCCAGAACAAGGGCAAGTGCTGCCAAACCATAAGAAATTGCGGGTGGCTGGAAGGTGCTTAAGATGCACCTAAGAAATTTGGAATATTTCCCAATTCATATATGCAGACATACATGAAATTATTGTTAAATCGAAAGATGAATTTTTAACACACGTGGCATTAAGAGATAAATATCAGCTATTGGATGTAACCCAATGGCAGTATTTGCAGCTACAACATTCTATTAACAATATTCTATTTCAGTTTCTGAGATGCTTGAGATACTAGAACAAGTGGCTAAATACTTTAAAACTTAAAAAAAAGTGATTACCTTTTGTTTATATTTGTTATCAATAAATCAATTTTATATGCAGATGTTAAGAAATGAATAGAATAAAGAATCGGAGGTTCCTATGTTCCCGGGACAATGGTAGTGTTTTAACTTCTATAGCAAGGCTGTCAGTGGACCTGATTTATACAACAGAAAATAATATTTAGAATTTATTGGACACTATGTTTACATAGAAAAGAACTGTCTAAAACAGCATTTTGTTGGAGATGTAATAAGCATAACGCTTCTTTAAAACACACGTTTCTAACAATGCCTTACACTTACTAAGTTTTGGCAGAAAGTAGTGGATTAATGTAAGTATAACTGTGTGAAAAAGGCTAAATTTTTCAGAGGACAATATTCTTTTGAACTATACACCTACTACAAGGATTTTGAGAAATGGACAATGGATTCTCTGTGCCCTTAATCTGGCCAAAAGACTGGTATTGCTGCATTGGAAAGATAAATATACAACTCTGTTTATTCAAAGTTTTGAAGACCTAACTAGTGGATTGCTTATAGAAACGACTTTGCATGGGAAAGTATAATGAAATTTAGAACGCATTCATATAAAATACTGTAATTAAAAATTGTAATTCTTAACCGTTTACAATTGCTATAGTGAAATGCTATATTCATTTTTACTTTTTTTAAAAAAAATAGCAACTTATATGTAAAAAAGAGATACATACATACATACATAGAATTTTAAAATGTATTTTAAAATTATTGAACACTGCACTTCCAAGGGCTTCTTTCAAATGTTAGCTTTTTAGTGTGTGCCTGATATAGCATATCTAAACACAAAGTGTTGGTTAAAACCAGGTATTTGATATATGCACCATATAAATAACACTTGTCCAAGATCAAGGCTTGATTACAGCATGTCAGAGATTCTAAGCATACTTGAATGCAAAACTAGTGTTTTGTGAGCTGTCAAAGTTAAAAGCTAGTTTCAGTGTAACTTAACTCACTGTACTTTAAAGAACTGTAGCCACGGCAGTCTGTAGCAGCAAATACAAGCATTGTGGCACCTTAGACAAGGAACCTGGATTGTTGAGCCAGGATATTATACAAATGAAGGCCTACGTGAAGCAGATAGAGGGGAGACATTAAACCTGAAATATAGGAGGGAACAATGGTTGATGAAGGGCGGGTCTACACTGGTCGGCTGTAACGTCAAAAATACGTTATAAAAATGTGACACCAGAGGGCGCTGCAGAGTAGTGACCTGTCAGCAATGGGAAATTGCATTGAGAGATATATAACTTTTTTCATGGCCTTTAACAGCGTTTTTATAGATCAGTGTAGATCCAGCCCAAGTGAGAAATAAAAATAATAGGTAATAGCCGGCTATGTCTATTTGCTTGTGAAACGGAAACCCACATATGCAATGGGGCTTTCGGTCCCTCTTCTTCCCCCTCCAGTCCCTGTGCTCCAATAGTTCTGCTAGCCTTTGGAGCAGAACTAGGAGGCCAAAGAGGGGTGTAGGTTTTGAAGAAGTCCCTTTGCAGAAGCAGACACCTGCTAGTGCAACACAGGATCACACTCAGTGGGTATGCAGAGAGCACATTGTAGGAGAAACAAAAACCCTACTTTATACCAAATCAGATCATTGGTCCATAGAGATTGATATTGTCAACATGGACTGGCAGCAGCTCTCCAGGAGTCCAGGCAGGAGTTCAGCCCAGCAGTTCAGGCAGGAGTCCAGCCCTACAAGGAGGCACCAGGGAGTGAACTTGGGACCTTTTGCATGCAGAGCATAAGCTATGGCTCTTCCCCACGATGACAACTGGTAGTGTCAAGCATGGACACAGATTCAAACTCTTGCATTAGAGTTACAGTTATGGGAAGTAGCAGAAACAAGACTGGTCAAATACACCAATGTGATCACCATCTAGTAGATCGTTCACACAATGCCACACATCGCAAGCTGGCTAAGTTTATGGCAAATGAATATTAGCTACATGAGATGCTTTTCCCCCCGTTTCCATCTGCAAGTTTAAAAGCCAAGCACGGGGCCAGTAAAAGCACAAAAAAGGCCATGTTATGCAGTCAATCAAAGTCCACAATCAAGCTTGGCAGGGCGATGCCTGTGAGCTGCCAAGCCAATGACATCTTCTCCTAGGATAAACAAACATCTTTTTTTCCAAGACCTTGGCAATGGCCCCAGACCTTGGGGTGAACTTCAGTCCTTCAGCCAGCCAAGTGGATGGAATGCAGGGTGTAAGAAGTCAAGAAGGATCACTCTGCAAGACAGGTCTGATGAAAAAAGGGAGCTTGGCTAAGCATCTGAGTATCTTAATATGCAAAAGGGGAACTGCTTAATTTAAAAGGGAGGCCGAGCACATATGAGGTATAAATAGTGCCAGCTTCTCCAACTACATTGGGCTTTAACAACCTAAGCTTTTATCCTGGCATTTGCAAAATTCCTCGCAGAGCTTACGTTAAAGTAGTCTCCATAAAGAGATCTTTAAGTACTCTTTGCTGGTAATCATAGCCCCAAATCCTTGGAAAGTGAACATGAACTCTAGAAGCTGCTATAAACTCCTCACCTTGCTCCCTTCACACGGGATGGTTCAAACTATGAATACTCGCCACTCTGGCTTTGCACCATTTTATGTTCTAAAGCCAAAGTTAATTAGGCAAGGAGAGAAAGTAATTCTTCCGTAGAACTATTTGTCTCAGGGAGTTAGTGAAATCTGCATTTTTAAGGAACAGTCCCTGAACTACCCTGTAAAGGGCCGAGCTGCGGTAAGTTACCCTCTGAAATTATATAAAAATGGAGGCTCCGTAATAAATCAGCTAAAAACAGAAAAAAGTGCTAAACCTCCGCAATCTTCTTGAAGCCTGACGTATGAATAAATCCAAGAACAATGCACTCAAATCAGAGAGCGAACAACACGGTGAAAGAGCCACGTGGTGAACAAAGCCAAGTAAAAACACTTGCAGAAACACAGGATTATTCGTTCCTGCTGCCTCTTCTGCTTGAATAAGTAGTCTGAATTGTGAAGCATGCACAACAGCAGCAGTCTATATAAGCTAGGTTTATGCCTGGTTTCAGGCTCCTTCACTGTGTAAGCAACAGCTGAAAAACTATGATGTAACCTTCCCCTGAGTTTGCAAGAAGGGAGTTGTACAGCTGGGGCAATATTATATTAAGCTACAATGCCAGATGAACTCTCTGAAAGAAACGCCGAGTGCAAATGCAATATTTGGAGTGTGCCCGTCGCGGCAGAACTAACGCCCTGCATTGCATAAGATTTCAGATTCAGTTACTGACATCCCCAGTGAAAGAATCTCAGGTAGTAAAGCGGGGGGGGAAAGACCCCAGACCAAGATTGAAGAGAGATGCCGACAGCCAGCTGTTAAAAGGGGGCTAGAGAGACCAGTGACCTGGCGGTGTCAGACCCGAACAACACTTGCAGCAGAATGAGATGGTAAATTTGCGAGTTGGAATGTACCACTTCAGGATGCAAGTGCGGGGGTGTGCATGCAAACCCCATTTCTAAGCATTACTGCACATAAAAGCTCCCTTAAGTAGAAAACTACCATGCAGATAACAGAGAAATTATCCCCAGTTGCTCCCCGATTTTTATATTCTGTTAATGTGCTGCAGCATTCAAAACCGATCCCTCATCCCCGGGCAATCGCAATTCGTACCATGTATTCTATCATCTCAGAATTCTGTCTCATTTTTCTGAACGTGTAAACCAAAGCATCCATGTATTTGCATCCCTGCCTGGCTTATCAGCCTTTTCCCCGACTGCCGGAGCCTCTCTCAAGCCATGCCCCTGGAACAACTGCTTGGGAAAAACAAGCAATGCCCACTAGATGAAAACTGTGCTCCTGAAAGCCCCAGCCTAATATTTATTTCCAAGACAACAGCTGCTGCTGCTACCTTTAAGTGCCTGCATTTCGGCATCAGCGTTTGTCATCTTTTTGGCAGCGGCCCCAGTAAAAAGTAGCCCTGAATAACATAAATGAAGCTCAAGATACTTCACTCTTTGTTGTAAAGAACAAGATTGCTCAGAAACCATAAACTGTACAATTTTCCCTCTGGAGTTCCGAGCCCGTTCCTGAAGGAAGATTGGTTCTGAAGTGTTCATTACAAATGAGCTATTCATTTAAAGGCATAGTGCCCCAATTGTTGCAGCCTCACTCGAAAAAGCACAGTCTCTTAGACCAAAGGCTGGCGATTTTGCTACAGTTCTCGCCAGCAAGGCTATCTTGCTCTATGAAGCAACTGTGGGCAGAATAATATGTACCCGGCAGAGCAGTGTGCACATATAAACACACTAACCGAATGCTGAGAAGCAAGTATGACAGCTTACGAATCTCCCCCCGCCTCCCAGTTATCAGACTGTTTAGAGATACACTCACCCTTCTGTTTCAAAGCCAAGCCAATATCCGCCCACTTGCGCCGAAAGCAAGCAGCAGAAGATGCGGCTGATTTTCAGCAAACGTTACCAGCAGTGCTTAAGCCAGGCAGTGCAATGCGATACAGATCATAATCAGATAATTATGCCAGAGCAGAGTGCCGTGCAAGCCATTTTAAATGTATACATTTTCAGAAGCTAAATGGCAGTAAAGGGATAACACCATTAGCGCTACAACTCTAGGTAACGGACAGTTTGCAGGTGGGCATCCACATACCTTTGTAGACCAAACCCTCAGTTTGGGTATCAGTCAACACAGTACGCACAAGAGCTTCTTTGCAGATCCTCCTCCTCTTAACAGGCAAGCTAGCTAATCAGCCTCTCAATCCACGTGCACCACCAGATTCGCTCCTTTTAGTTCCTCTAAAGCTGGAATCACTGACAACACCAACGAAAATAACGGGTGAAGGATCTGATGTAAGGATAACATGCAGTTAAAGCGTTGTGGACTGTGGAGATAGTTATCAAGAAAACAAATTGCATTTTTCCAAGAGCAGCCTCAAAGTCAACCATGCCTCTCTCCCCCCCCCCCCCGCAACACCGAGAAGAAATTTCTCTCTAAATACACTTCAGCCAATGCCTAATAACTCAATATACTTCATGTGGCTTCGGGTACAACATTCCAAACAATATCTGAGAGATCTTTGACACACACACACAAAAATTACTTTTGTATTTTTAGGTCTGGAATGCCTGCTTTCAGAAATCCTATGCAGTTAACTGTGTTTGCATCTGTAACATAACTTTACACGTGCTACTGCTGCGTATTTATAATACGGGGGCAAAGAATTTCACCCCTGTTGGGTTCAAACCACAAATATGCAAACTGAAGCACTTTACCTGATCAGCAAAATGAATTGACCATTTGCATTACTGGCAAAGTGACACAAAACAGGATTGATTGCTGGGTTCATTGGTGAAACCCAGTTTAAGCTTCTGCACCCTCCCTACCAGACCTGCCCAACCTCAAATGAAAGAAAGTTTTGTCACGCAGGGAAGGTCCCCAGCACTGAAAGGGAAAACCCAATACCCATTCTGGGTGCTACAGATACGATGGGGCTGACCCGCTAGGCTACATCTGGAACAGCTCAGTTGGTAAAGCATGAGACTCTTAATCTCAGGGTTGTGGGTTTGAGCCCCACGTTGGGAAAAGGATTCTTGCATTGCAGGGGGTTGGACTAGATGACCCTCGTGGTCCCTTCCAACGCTACAATTCTATGATTTAATGACCCACAAGCCACATCTCCACATAAAGCTAATGCATACCAAAAGCTGCCCTCCAAGTCTCCCTCAATAGATATAATAATAATAATAATAATAATAATAATAATAATAATTTATTATTTATACCCCACCCATCTGGCTGAGTTTCCCCAGCCACTCTGGGCAGCTCCCAATCGAGTGTTAAAAACAATACAGCATTAAACATTAAAAACTTCCCTAAACAGGGCTGCCTTCAGATGTCTTTTAAAGATAGGATAGCTGCTTATTTCCTGCACATCTGAAGGGAGGGCGTTCCACAGGGTGGGTGCCACCGCCAAGAAGGCCCTCTGTCTGGTTCCCTGTAACCTCACTTCTTGCAATGAGGGAACTGTCAGAAGGCCCTCGGCGCTGGACCTCAGTGTCCGGGTAGAACGATGGGGGTGGAGACGCTCCTTCAGGTATACAGGACCGAGGCCGTTTAGGGCTTTAAAGGTCAGCACCAACACTTTGAATTGTGCTCGGAAACGTACTGGGAGCCAATGCAGATCTCTCAGGACCGGTGTTATGTGGTCCCGGTGGCCACTCCCAGTCACCAGTCTAGCTGCCGCGTTCTGGATTAATTGCAGTTTCCGGGTCACCTTCAAAGGTAGCCCCATGTAGAGCGCATTGCAGTAGTCCAAGCAGGAGATAACTAGAACATGCACCACTCTGGCGAGACAGTCTGCGGGCAGGTACGGTCTCAGCCTGCGTACCAGATGGAGCTGGTAGACAGCCGCCCGGGACACAGATGCCTCTCAGGATGGCAAAAAATCCGTCTCTCATGCTTTGCTACCTCCTCCTATAATCACCCTGTTTGGTCACCTACAGGACACTCCACACACCAGCAGTTCTTTACCTGCAACACTTTTCTCCCCTTCCACTTCTCTGGCTTTTGCACCCCTCTTGTTCTTGCACCCCAAACCCTTCCCCCTTTGCCACAAGTCACTGCAACCTTCCCTATGATTCTTTCCCACCCTGTATTCCGCCCTCGAAGTCTGTTCTGATAGTTGCTGACTCAAGCACTACAAGGAGCAAAGTTCCTCCCTCATTTCACTCTCTTTTCCAGGATCGACACATTTATTTGCTTCTTCCCTTTTCTCCCCATTGCACATCCTGCTTTAGAAAGAAGCTCCTTGCCTCCGACCCCAAGCCCTTTGCCACCCATCCCGCCTCCTCAACCTGACCTTGCAGAGAAGAATCTCTTCTCTCTCTCTCTCAAGTTTTCTTACAGCCCCTTCGGCACCTGATTTTTCTAGGGTCGGTTTTCTCACCCCTTGCATGCTCCACACACAGATCCCAAGATGTGATCTCTTCTCCTCTTCTCTTACCTTATCAGACAGCCTTATCATCTCCTCCCACCCCCAGTTATTTCCTCCCGTCAACCAACACACGCAACAAACATTTTGCTTCTGCAGTTATTTCTCGCTCGCCCGCTGGGATTCTGCTCACCTTTTTGAACTCCCTTGAAGAACATCTCAAGAATAGTTCAAAAATTGTGTCTTCCCTCTTTTCCACAGGCTGCCTTCTTGCATCCCCCACCAAACCCAATTCTCTCCCTTGTCCCAAAACCCTGCCTCTCAAACTCAACCCCCTCCAACAACACCCCAGCCTTTCTTCTTCTGAACCCCATTTGCTATGGTCCCTGTCTTGAATCTGCTGTTCAAAGAACTGCAGAGCTGGAAAGGACCCCGAGGGCCATCTAGCCCAACCCCCTACTTGTATCTTTCGCGCCCAAGTCAATGCACACACTCCAGGCTTCCTCTGCCCTGTGTTGGCAGACCAACTCTCCGTTACAAAGATGGCTCCAAACACGAAGGCTGGCAACATCAACCCCGACGTGTGGGAATCTCTTACAGACAACCTCAGTGCCTGGAGGCAGAGAGTCAGGCTGTGCAGCCACAGCAGTGACTTGAGGAGGAATGACCGCTGGGAGGAGCGCAGAAAGAAGGAACGCCGTGGTGCATCTGCAGCAGCACAACCAGACGCCTTCGTCTGCCCCAGCTGCAACAAAACATGTCCTTCCTGTATCGGTTTCTACAGCCACAACAGGACCTGTAACTCACCAAAGGCACAATCCTCCAACAACAAGAATCCCTCAGTCACACAACGGCCTCTGCATTCCTCCAACTCCCACCCCGGCGCCCAGAGACACCCCCCCCTACTCAAATACACACACCTTTCCATAAGAATGCCCCCTCCCCAGTCATGAAATCCTCTTTCAAGGCAAATCCCCTAAGACACTCCTTTGCGTGTTTCCTTTTGGGTCCCTTCCTCCACCACTCTCTTTCTCAAGGAGTTCTGATCCCTAAGCACACCCTGATGTTGGCTTGGCTCCCTGAATTGCTCCGCTGGTCCGACAGATATGTATTTTAGAAAACCACAAATCAGGCAGCCTTTAGATTAACTGGTTTGTGGCAGGGAATGATTGGTAAATCCAAACGGGGTTATGGAGCTGTCAGCCACATTAAGGCACCAAAAAGGACACCAAAAAATTCTTCTCACTCATTCTTTTTATTCCCTATGTTTACATGCCACTTTCCCCCCAAGGTGACATAAATGTGGTTCTTAGGATGTCTCCCATCCAGTGACTAACCAGGGGTCAGCAGGGGGCCGGTCCACTGTCCCTCAGACCTTGTGGGGGACCGGACTATATTTTGGGGAGGGGGAAAAAAGAACGAATTCCTATGCCCCACAAATAACCCAGAGATGCATTTTAAATAAAAGCACACATTCTACTCATGTAAAAACACGCTGATTCCCAGACCGTCTGTGGGCCGGATTTAGCAGGTGATTCGGCAGGATCTGGCCCCCCGGACCTTAGTTTGCCTACCCATGGACTAAACCCAAATCTGGTTAGCTTCAACCAAGGTGGTGGCCTCGTGTGTCTTCACACCAAATTTTTTTTGCTGCTGGTTGCTCTTAGGCCTTTCTTGTGGGTACCTTACAAGCACCAGACAGACCAAGATCGAAAACAAAATACTGGGCAAGATTTTAGTACTACATTTATATCCCAGCTTTTCTCCAAAGAGCTCAAGGTGGCATCCCTTTCCCCAATTTAATCCTCACAGCAACCCTGTGAGGTAGGTAAAGGTTGGGAAAGTAGTGACTGACCCAAGGTTATGGAGTGAGATACATCTAGCTGAGTGGGGATTTGAACCCTGGACCCAACACTCTAACCACTAACCCCATCAACACAAGGCAACTTGCAAGGCTGGAATACACATCGAAAACAAATCCTAAAGATTGCTTAATTTTTTTTCAAAATGTAGCCAAGAACATATTTGAATAAATGTGTTCTCAGGAGTTTACATTACCTCTGCATAGAACTTACAAGTTCAGAATCACTCCACCCCTGATATTCTGGTATTCTTTAGCAATTTTACCTACAACAGCTGAGTAAAACCTCTAAGGGCAGAGGCACTGTACCTCCAAATGCCACCTGTTTCAGGGTAGGGCATTCAGCAGCAGGGAAAGCTGTAAAACCTTATGCCCACCCCCCAGACTGCTATGGGGGGCAAACAACACAGAAGACTGCTGTAGCTGGACCACTCCGATGTGCAGGTGCGTGTCAGGGACGTGGGGCAAAAGCGTTGTGTGGATGGTGCATCTCAAGGAAACACCCCACCCCAGGCAGTCTGTTCCAACATGCAGGTGAGCGTCAGGGACGCGGGACAGAAGAGTCATGTGGATGGCGTGCCATTGCCCTCCCTGCCTGGGGGAAACACTTCAATCCCCCACTCCAAACCACCTGTCCCTATACACAGATGGGTGTCAGGGTCGCGGGTCAGAAGGGCTGTATGGATGGCGCGCCTGTGCTCTCCCTCCCTCACAAACACCTTCTACCCCTCCCGGCGCGCCGTTCTGACGTGCAGGTGCGTGGACCAGAAGGGCTGTATGGATGGCGCGCCTGTGGTCTCCCTCCCTCAGGAGCACCTCCTACCCCTCCCGGCAGCCCGTTCCGACGTGCAGGTGCGTGTCTGGGTCGCGGGTCAGAAGGGCCGTGTGGACGGCGCGCCTGTGCTCTCCCTCCCTCACAAACACCTTCTACCCCTCCTGGCGCCCCGTTCCGACGTGCAGGTGCGTGGGTCAGAAGGGCTGTATGGATGGCGCGTCTGTGGTCTCCCTCAGGAGACCTCCTACCCCTCCCGGCAGCCCGTTCCGACGTGCAGG